CACACACACACACACACACACACACACACACACACACACACACAAATGGAATGTTTTAGTGTCTTGATCAAAACTGAGAGTTGGGAACATTTTGACGTGCAGCCAGCTTATGTCGCTGCCTTTAACTGGTGCATTTTGTAGCTGTGGGTCTTCCTCAACTCCACTGCTTTTTGTCCACTATGTTCAAAGAATCTGAAACCAACTACTGGAGAAAGAAAATCAATCTCTTTTGTCTCCACCTCCCCCAAAGGCTGACTTTTTTTTATTTTATTTTATTTATTTATTTTTGTTTGGTTTTTTGTTTTTTGTTTTTTGTTTTTCTGAGAAGATTCTTCATGTCTAGTCTGTGGAGGCCGGAAACAGGGCCAGCTTAGCTCCAAGTGGACAGTTCACTTACGCAATATCTGGCTTGAGATAATGAAAGGCACCTGTAAGGAAACACACGCAGCTTTTTAGGTCACGCTGGGACAATTCACAGTTAGGGGCAAGATCAGCTACAGGCTGACAATGTCATATTTAATACCACGGTATCAAAGGATCGAGACTAATATTTTTATTCCTGAGACAAGTTTGACACAACTCTGTGTCCCGGGCTTATCCCCATATGATCCTGGCGCTGACCTCATTAAGAACACGTGTTTCTAATGCCAGAGGTTATTTCATTTTGGCCAACCTCTGTGTTTTACCTACCGACCATCCGGCTTTACGTCCCAGCAATTAATAACTGCAAGATGTTATTGACATCAGTTAAGAAAATAATTACACCAGGGAGCCTGTGCTGTGGCAATCAGCTGGCTTTGCCACAGAGCTGATACTGGGATGAAAGGCTTAATCAGCCTTCCAGTTCCCCTTTCTCAGACAAGAGGTGATCTCTCTCGCTTCCAGGAGGAACTACCCCCTAGAACGTCCAAGGCTTACTTTGTCCATACTGCCCGTACTGGTAGCCTGTGACAGGGTCCATGCTGTAGCCTGTGGAGCTATAGGTGGGAGGGCAGTAGGGCTGAGAAGTGGGCAGGCTGTCCACATTCTTCATATGTTCCAGTCTCTGACTGCAGCTGGCTGACACCGTGGTCGTGGGCTCCAGTCCCCCAGTGAGAGGGGAGAGAGCGTAGTCGGTCTGAGGCTGGTGCGGTACCCCACCGTGGTTGGTCAGAAGTCCCATGACCTGCAGCAACAGGCAGATTGGAAGAAGTTAAAGTGCGGGCACAAACAGACGGCGAGCCCAGAACCATCGCGAGACCTGGAAAGGCCAACTTTTATGTCTTTAGGAATCCGCTGAGGAGCCGCTCGTTCTGAGGACTTTGACCTCGATTCAAAGTGGCAGCCACATGACCTCACCCAACGATAACATCTGACTGCAGTTTCAGAAAAAAAAAAGGAAGGGGAGGGAGAAGGAAGAGAAGGAAGGAGAGGAAGACAGAGAAGGAGAGATTACCCCACGTCCGCTGTGATAGCATCAGACTGTAATTTCAAAGAAAAGAAGCGACAGAGAGACGGAGACATTATATCAGTCTATACAGAAAAGCTCCTAATATAATACATCTGGATACCCAAGTGATTGTGTGTGTGTGTGTGTGTGTGTGTGTGTGTGTGTGTGTGTGTGTGAGAGAGAGAGAGAGAGAGAGAGAGAGAGAGAGAGTGCTTGCACATGTGTGCATGTGTGTGCCTGTACATATGTGTGCATGTGTGTTTCTGGGGATTGGATTAAGGGACTTACACATGCTAAGCAAGTACTCTACCACACAGCTATATCCCCAGCCATGCAATTAAAAAGTCATTTGCACATATTTGAGTGTGCACATGCACATATGCATGCATGTACATGTGTATATGTGTGTATGCATATATGTGTGTAAGTATATATACATGTGTGCACATATGTGCATGTGTACATTTGTATGTATCTGTTCACATGTATATATGTATATAAATGTGTGTACATGTGCATGCATATATGTATGTGTTCATGCATATATATGCATTGTGTACATGTATATAATGTGTGTGTGTGTGTGTGTGTGTGTGTGTGTGTGTGTGTGTGTGTGTGTGTATGAATTAGAAGATAGGGATGGAGGTGTAACTCTGTGGTAAAGCATTTGTCTGACATGGAGAAATCCCTGAGTCTGACCCATACCCCATTTTCCCCAGCACTGGAAAAAATAAAAATCAAATAAATCTAAGTTAAATTTTTGTATACGTATCCTGAAACCTCCATTTTTTTTTCCATCCTGTTCCCTTTCAAAGCAGCTTCTCTTTGGTCCATCAGTCAGCAAGGAGAGATCATTCCCCTTGCCGAGTGTTCCCTGTGCTCCCCTGTGTTTCCCTCATTACGCCTACTACACAATCTCACTTTTCCACTTTGATTTGTGAGACATGAGAGCTGAGACACCTGCTCCCTCCTGCCCCGCGCTGCTTAAGCAAGTGGTACCAAACAAATGGCCAAACATTCTTCAGGCAGGCAGGCATGGCGCCTAGGGTCTAGGCTGAGGCAAAAGGATTTTGGCCCGAGTTGGAGGCTGACCTTTGCTATAATGCAAGAGCCTGTCTCAAAAAGCCAAAGCAAATCCTATCCACGTCTTCCTTCTCAGACTCAGTTTCCACATAAGAAGTGTTAGAAAAGACATACGTGGGGTGTTTTAGGGCTATAAATGACCCCAGGGAATAGGACACCTTAACAAACAGTCATCACAGGACAAAAAACTCTCAGATCAGACCCAGGAAGCTTTTCCCAAACTCACATGCACTGGTCGTTCCAACCCTTTCAACATGGACTGTCAGTGGGTAATTAATTGAAAACTAGAAAATGTCCACACACATGACAGAAAGTGACTTTTCCCAAAAAGCAACTGCAGAAGAAGTCTACTAGTGGGTGAGAAACCCACATACACAAAGAAAAACAGTCCTCCTACAAAAGCATTTAAGTGAGTCACCCCACAGCTGCACAGCAAGCAGTCCATCGAGGTCCTGCAGAAATAAACCCAGACCGCAGTCCTCTGCGCTAAGTGCTAAGTTCCATTTACAGGCAGGCAACAGGCTCCTGGATGGAAGGGCTCCATCACAGTGGTGTAGGAAGCTAGTCATACACCCCCATAAGGCTTTCTTACTCCGATTGGAAAACAAGATCCCAAAGCTTCCTTGGGGGAAAGTTTGCACAACCTAAAAGTAAACAAAATCCTAACAAAATTTTAAACAGATCCATCTTCAGTGAGCCACAAGGCACCATCCCAGAGAGGTGCTTAATGCCTTTCTCCACCCAAAAGGTCACTCCCCTCCCTGCCCTACTTTCAATCCAAATTTTGAAAACCATCTGAGGGATCTAAATTTGTTAATGTTATATAGCAAAGTGTGCCAAAAAAAAAAAAAAACTAATAGAAAGTTTAGTCATCAGTAGCCAAACATAGTTTTATTGGGGATGGCAAGCAAGTGACCTTAACAAAATGAAGTACAAATCAATAAGATCACAGCTACAGGAAGACCGTTGCTAGAGTGTGGCCATTGGTGGGATCCTGCGCAACACCGTTGATAAGTTAATTTCATTTGAAAGGTTTGTATGTAACCAAGAATATATTTAAATTATTTCCTGGATGCCTACTACCTCCAGGGATCCTCCTCCTCTTCTTCCTCCTCCTCCTCTTCCTCCTCTTCCCCCTCTTCCTCTTCCCCCTCCTTCCCTCCCCCCTCCTTCCGTTGAGTCAGTACAGATAATTTTTACAGTGTGTCTTTGGAAAAATTCACCAACTTTCATTGATATGCTAATTTACAAAATACCTTATTTCAATCCAAATTAGGAGTGTATGTTTTTTTAAAGTCTTTAAAATATAATTTACAGCTGGGTGTCATAGATACAAGCCTGTAATCCCAGCACTTGAGAGGTGGAGGCAGAAGAATCAGGAGTTTAAGGCTGATCTCAGCCACACCATGAGTTTGAGAGCATCTGGAAGAAAGAAAGAGTAGCGATGACTCGGCACTTAGCAAGCACACTCCTTTCAACTCAGGAAGGACATCTTGATGAGCTGACCCGATGACAAGAACAGACGGCCCCGTTACTGGTGTGAAGGAAGAAAGAGAACTTAAAACCAGTTGTCCGCGCTCCCTTTCATCTCCTGATGCAGCCCCACGAGTGTGTTGTGACCCTGTGCTCCTCACATCTTAAGGACTGGAGAGCAGAGCATGGTGACACAGGCCTAAAATCCCAGCTCTCGGAAGGCAGAGGCAGGAAGACTGAGATTCAAGGCAGCCTGAGCTACCTAGAGAACCCATTCTCCGAAGAGAAGGGAAACCAAGAGGAGGGCGAGTCGGGAGAAGGAGGGGAGAAAGACTAATAAATCTTTATCATGTTATTTGTCTCAATAATTTGTGTGTGTGTGTGTGTGTGTGTGTGTGTGTGTGTGTGTGTATCTGTCTGTGTATGTGTCTGTGTGTCTGTGTCTGTCTGTCTCTGTATGTGTGTGTGTGCGCGTGCGTGCGTGCGTGCGTGCGTGCGTGTGTGTGTGTGTGTGTGTGTGTGTGTGTTTTGGTTTTTTGAGACAATTTCTCTGTGTAACCTTGGCTGTCCTGGAACTTGCTCTGTAGACCAGGCTAGCCTCAAACTCAGAGAGATCTGCCTGCCTCTGCCTCCCGAGTGCTGGGATTAAAGGTGTGCGCCACCACCTGGCTGTCTCAATAATTCATAATGAAAAAAATGTAAATACACCACTTTAACAACATGCCATTTAAAAATTTAAAAAGGCTAGGAGATGGTAGTGCACACCTTTAATCCCAGCACTTGGGAGGCAGAGGCAGGTGGATCTCTGCAAGTTTGAGGCCAGCCTGGTCTACAGAGCAAGTTCCAGGACAGGCTCCAAAAGCTACACAGAGAAACCCTGTTTCAAAAAAAAATAAATTAAATTAAATTAAAATCAAAAAAGAAATCTGTCGGGGAGGTGAACATATCACTAGGAACGGCATTACTTTCCCTTGACATAATTCAAAAACCTCAAATCTCTGTGGAAGGGTCCTATTACACTTTTAAGTATGTTTCTTTAAAAGCTATTTTATGCTTCATGTGATTCAAAGGAAACTACGGAAACATCTTCTTATGCACAAGAAGTTAGTAAATAAGCGTCTTAGCCCTCCCCCAGCACGGTCATGGAATGCCATGCAGTGCTAGTCTGTCTAAGAACATCGCCACTGTTTCTCCCATCATGCTTTTCCTACAGCAATTGCTTGTTCAAAGCCAAAAATAAAATCTTCATTTGTTGTAAAAAAGTTCCTATACTCCTCCCTTTTATCATTAATAATCTATGTCTACTACAAGGCTGGCTTTTAAAAAAAATATATATGGGGGAGGGGGAGGACAATTGCTTTGTTTTCAAAAATAATTTCAAAGAAAACAATTTCAAAGCTGCTTCCACTCTGCCTCCCAGATGCTGACCACATTTTTAGGAAATGACAGGTAAGTGAGGGAGATTAACAAGGAGGAAGAGGGGTTTCCTTAAATAAATAAAGGTTCTGTCCTATTGGGAAACCATGAGGGTCTATTTGACTGTTTGGGGGCCTAGATATACAAAGACACATTATATTTGTATGTGTGTGCAATGTGCATACAAGAACATGCATATGTATGGCACGCGGGGTGATGGGAGTGTGCCACAGCATGGCTGTGGAGGTCAGAGGACAGCCTGCAGGAGTCAGTTACCTCCTTCCACCAGGTCCATCCTGGGGATGGAATTCAGGGCATGGGCCTTGGTGGCAAGCATCTTTCCTCTTTGAGCCATCCCGCGGGCCCACAACCCTGTAAGTCCAGTTACATAAAACGCCTAATCAGGGTTATCTGAACACATCACTCCGTTAAGCACATGTCTGAATGGCCCCTCCAGTATTGCCAGGGCTCTCTACCTCCAACCTGTTTCACAGGTGACCCTTAAAAACAAATCCAAAACCTCGCAGTTCTGCGCTCCCACGACTTCCGCCCGCTCTCCCATCACCGCTCTATTAGAGACATTTTCTGAAGATCTCTTTCAGCTCATTCTCAAGTTTCAGGATTCTGAATGGGTTGTTTACATCTTGATTGGAAGATTACATGGTTCAGGAGAGACCAGCTCTTTACAACGGCTTCATGCCACATTTCTCTTGAATTAATTTCCCTATTGTAAGATTAAATATAAAAGATAAAAAAAAAAAAAC